GGAGCACCCAGTTATCTAGTTTCTCTTCTGGTGTTTGTGCATTGTTAGTTATGGTTTTTATTCTATTTATGCCATGTATTAAGGCCCCTATCATTGTCCTATTTTTTCTTCCATGATCTTTACTGTTTTAGGTTTTATATTTAGATCTTTGATCCATTTTGAGTTAGTTTTTGTGTATGGTGTGAGGTATGGATCCTGTTTCATTTTTTTACAGATGAACATCCAGTTATGCCGGCATCATTTGTTAAAGAGACTGTCTTTTCCGCCGTTAATGGATGTTAGCCCTTTGTCAAATATCCACTGCCCATAGATGGATGGATTTATGTCTGGGTTCTCAGTTCTGTTCTATTGGTTTATGCGTCTATTGTTGTACCAGTATCAGGCTGTTTTGACTATGGTGGCTGTATAATAGGTTCAAAGATCAGGTAGTGTGAGGCCGCCCACTTTGTTCTTCTTCAGTAATGCTTTACTTAACTGAGGCCTCTTCCCTTTCCATACAAAGCTGGTGATTTGTTTCTCCATATCGTTAAAGAATGCTCTTGGGATGTGGAACAGGATTGCATTGTATCTGTAGGTCACTTTGGGTAATACCGACATTTACACAGTGTTGAGTGTTCCTATCCATGAGGGTGGTATGTTCTTCCATTTACATAGGTCTCTTTTGGTTCCTTACAGTAGTGTTTTGTAGTTTTCTTTGTATAGGTCTTTCACATCCCTAGTTAGATTTATTCCTAAGTATTTTATCTTCTTGGAGGCTATTGTAAATACTGTTGATTTGCTGATTTCCTTCTTGAAGTTCTCTTTGTTGGTGTAGAGGAATCCAACTGATTTTTGTATGTTAGTCTTGTATCCTGATATTTTGCTGAAATCTTCTATTAGTTCCAGTACCTTTCTTGTGGATTCTTTGGGTTTTTCTATGTATAGGATCATACCATCTGTGAATAGGGATAGTTTTACCTCTTCTTTACCAATTGGATGCCCTTAGTTTCTTTTTCTTGCCTTATTGTTCTAGGATTTCCAGCACATGTTGAATAAGAGTGACGATAAAGGACATCCTTGTCTGATTCTCGTTCTCAAGGGGAATTCTCATAGTGGCTTTGAGGGGGTGATCTAATGATGCCATCCCCTGCATAAAGCCCTTTAATGGCTTCCCATTGATCTTAGAATAAAGGCAAAGCTCTCTGTACTACAGGCCTACAAGGCCCTGTCTCACCTGGCCCCTCTCTCCTGCAGCCTCATCAAACCCCACAGGTCTCCTTGCATTCTGTGTTCCAGACATTCCAGCTTTATTTCCTTCCTTTGAATTCTCCATGTTCCTTCCTGCCACAGGGCCTTTGCACATGTTACCCCTATCTAGAATGTCACCTTTTCCCCTCTTCACCTGTATACTTCCGCTCATCTTTCGGACCAGATTCTGAACAGGTTTACTGTCTCAAGGAAGACCTCACTCATAAGGTCAAATCCCCTTATTACAAGCTTTCCTAACACCAAGCCCCACCTCTCCTTTGTCCTAGTCAGGGCCAGCTTCACAGGCGTGCCACCTGTGCAGTCACACAGGGCCCTGCACTTAGAAGGACCTGATGCTTGGTTTAATGCTTTGCTGTGGCCATCTAGAAATTCTTAGTTTTTAAACAAGGGGCCTCACATTTTCATTTACACTGGACTTCGCAAATTATGTAGCCCGTTCTGGTCCAAGTTGCCATTTTTTGTTTGTGTGACAATTCAGTTAATGACTTTATTCCACCAGTCTAATGTGGGCTCTAGAAGAAGGGGCTGTATTTATTTTTGATAGTTTTACCCCTATCACCTCTTACAGTTCCTGGCACATATCAGGGGCTTAGTAAATAATTGCTGAGTTATTCTCTTAGGATAATAGTCTAAATAGTTGCCGGCGCGTAGTAAAACCAAAAAACCAAACCTGTTGCCATTGAGTTGATCTTGATTCACAGCAGCCCTATAGGGCAGGGTGGAACTGCCCCATAGGGTTTCCAAGTATATAATCTTTTCAGAAGCAGACTGCCACATCTTTCTCCTGTGGAGCAGCTGGTGGGTTTGAACTGCCGACTTTCCAGTTAGCAGCAGAGTGCTTGACCATTGCACTACCAGGGCTCCTTTGGCTGAATTACTCTTCTAATAGTCTTTTAGATTCTTTTAGGAATTTAGAGTTTAGGTGAGGAGGTAAGTGTGTTGCCCACACCGCACCTCATCTCCTCAGGGCGGGTGACTGAGTCTGACTCCTCTCTTTCCACGGTGTCCAGCATGGGGCCTGGCAAAGAGGAGGTGGCAGTTCCTGGCTGTGAGTCAGAACTCAACATATACCTGTGATCAAGTGAGTGTTTTGGCTGGGTTCTGCTGCAAGTGACACAAAGTGTTGGCGAGATTCACAGTAGAGGATAAAGGTAAAGGGGATTGGAGGGGCTTCTTGGGCAGGCGGCAGTTGAACTGGGCCCTGAAGGAAGGGGGTTGAGAATCAGTGGAGATGGTGGTGTTTGGGCATTCCCGATGGAGTAGCATGAAGAGTAGCTCTGGGGGCAAGACTCCAGAGTCTTTGTGTCTCCATATGTCAGAAGAGGCGTGGAGGGCTGTGTGTGCCTGGGTATATTATGAATTATGAATCCAGGGATTAGGTCCTGGAAGTTCAGCAGCTTCCCAGGAGTGAACTTCTTTCATGCCCATATTTACTAATTGAGCAAACCTGCAGTGAGCTCCCACAGTGTGCCAGATCTGTACTGGGTGCTAGGGGTACAGAGTTGCTTCCACCCAGCTGACAGCCTGGTGCAGGGAGCAGACACATGTGTGAGCACAGGGGCTGGGGCCCTTAGCTGAACTACCTTACCTGTCCTGGGGGGTTAAGTTTGGTTGATAAGAGAGAATCAAAGGAAGTAAATGATGAGACCAGAAGGGTCAGCAGACCCAGACCATGAAGGGCATTATAAGCTATGTTCAATTTTTATTTTAAGAAAGTAAAAAGAAGAGTCTTTTTTTGTTGTTGCTGTTTGTTTGTTTTGTGGTAAAATAAACAAAACCTATTGCCATCAAGTCGACTCGTAACGACCCTATAGGACAGTAGAACTGCCTCTGTAGGGTTTCCAAGGCTGTACTCTTTATGGAAGCAGACTGCCACATCTTTCTCCTGTGAAGTGGCCAACCTTTTCGTTGGCAGCCAACTGCTTAACCACTATGTCACCAGGGCTCCTTGGTAGAATATACGTGTGTTAGTTATCTCGTGCTGCTATAACAGAAATGCCACAAGTGGGTGGCTTTAACAAACAGAAATTTATTTTCTCAGAGTTTGGGAGGCTAGAAGTCTGAATTCAGGATGCCAGCCCTAGGGGAGGGCTTTCTCTCTGTGTCGGCTCGGAGGAAGGTCCTTGTCTGTTCTGAGCTTCTGCTCCTGGGTGATGTTCAAGTGGCTTGGCATGTGTCTTTCCAGCTCTGCTTTTTTGATTGCTTGTTTAATCTCTTTTATATCTCAAAAGAGATTGATTTAAGAGACACCCTACATTAATCCTGTCTCATTAAAATAATAAAGACAACCCATTCCCAAATGGGATTATAGATTATAACCCCAGGCATTGCAGTTAGGATTTACAACACATATTTTGGGGGGCACAATTCAATCCATAACAAAACACAACATAAAATTTGCCATTTTCATAAGCTTTGTTATTGTTAGTTGCTATTGAGTTGATTCCCACTCCTGGTGACCCCATGTGCAGAGCAGAAGTCTGCTCCATAGGGTTTTTAAGGTTGTAACTTTTTGGAAGCATATCGCCAGACCTGTCTTCCCTTCGGCAGGTTTGAACTGCTGACTTTCAGCTAGTAGACAAGTGCTTAACCATTTGCACCACCCAGGGACTCCCAAAATTTGCCATTTTAACCATTTTCACACTCACAATGTTGTGCAACCCATCACCCCAAACAGAAACTCTTTACTCATTAAGCATTAACTCCACACTCTTCCTCCCCCCAGCCCGTGGTAACTACTTTCCGTCTCTATGTGTTTCTCTGCTCTACATATTTCATACAAATGGGATCACACGCTATTTGTCCTTTTTGTGTTTTGCTTCTTTCTGTTGTTGTTGGGTGCTGTTGAGTGGATTCCGGCTCATAGTGACCCCATAGGACAGAGTAGCACTGCCCTGTAGGGTTTCATAGGCTGTAATCTTCAGAATCACCTCGACAGCAGTGGTTTTTAATCTTTACAAAAGCAGATTGCCAGGTGTTTTCTCTCACGGAGCAGCTTGTGGGTTCCAAATGCTGACCTTTCAGGTTAGCAGTCGAGTGCTTAACCACAGCACCACCAGGGCTTCTGTCACTCAGCAGTGTTTTCAGAGTTCATCCATGTTGTCGCATGTATGAGAACTTCATTCTAAAGAGTTCTTAAACTTGGTCCTTAACAAGGGGATGGCATTGAGAGGTTTGAAGCAAGGCAATGACGTGGTAAGATTTTCAGATGTGTGCTTTATAAGATCCCTGTGACTCTAGTGGAGACAGTGGGTTGGAGGAGGCCAGGTGGGAAGTGGGATACCTGTGAAGATGTCAGTACGTGGACTAGGGCAGGGACTGTAGAGATGAAGGGAAGGAGACAGAGGAGGAATGGACAAGATTTGGTGACTGATTGGACAAGGAGGTAAGGGAGATCAACCAGTCCAGATGACGCCTGGGACTCTGTCTTATGTACCTGGGGTGCCATCAACAAGGTGGGGAAAATGGAAATAAGAGGTTTGGCAGTCAGATGCTGAATTCAGTTTAGGATATCCTAACCCAGATTAAAGGAACCCTGGTGGCACAGTGATTAAGTGCTTGGCTGCTAACTGAAAGGTCAGCAGTATGAACCCACCAGCCAATCCACAGGAGAAAAACGTGGTAGTCTGCTTCCATAAACATTACAGCCTTGGAAACCCTATGGGACAGTTCGACTCTGTCCCTTAGGGTTTCTATGAGTCAGAATCAACTCAGTGGCAATGGGTTTGGTTTTTTGGGTTAATCCAAATTAGCTCTTGTCTCTAAACAGGAAGCAGAGGAAAAACCATACCAGTAAACTGCAAGAGCTGGCATTGCTGCTACCTGTGGCCCTGAAGACCAGAACCAAAAAGCTCACCAAGGTATGGAGTCTGTAGAAGAGGAGGCAGATTTGGGGAAGGAGAGAGGGGAGAGCTTAAATATCACTAAGCAGTTGAATCTCCCTGCCCTGGGCTGCCAAGACACAGACCCTTTCAGAGACATGGTGAAGTGGGAGTGTTTCTGCTCTGATCAGAATTTCTGGGAGTCTAGGATCCTGTGACTAGAAGTCTAGGGGATTCTTTTCTTGCAAAGGAGGCAGGGGGAACTGGGAGGGAAACATCAGGCAAGATGCCAGGTAAAGATCATAGCTTTGGGAGTCAAACAGCCATGGGTTTGAGCTCTCCAGCTCCACAACTACAGAACTTTGGGCAGTTTACTTGGCATAATTGGCCTTTCTGAGTAGTCAAATAAGGAAAATAACTCCTACTACCCAGAAATAGAAGGAGACCTGGTAGCGCAGTGGTTAAGCATCAGCTGCTAATTGAAAAGTTGGCAGTTCGAACTCACCCAGAGGCTCCTCAGGAGAAAGACCTGCTGATCTTCCTTCATAAAGATTAACCAGAAAGACCAAATCCATTGCCACCGAGTCGATTCCAACTCGTAACCACCCTGTACAACAGGGTAGAACTGCCCTATAGGGTTTCCAAGGCTGTAATCTTTACGGAAACAGACTACCACATCTTTCTCCCGTGGAGCAGCTGGTCGGTTCAAACTGCCTACCTTTTGGTTAGCAGCCAAGCGCTTAACCATTGCACCACCAGGGCTCCTTCTGTAAAGATGACAGCCAAGAAAACCCTATGGGGCAGTTTACTGTCACATGGGACAGCACTCAATAACAAGCACCCAGAGATGGGAGTCCCTGGGTGGTAGAAACAGTTAACACGCTTGGCTGCTAAACAAAAGGTTGGAAGTTCAAGTCCACCCACAGGCTCCTCAAAAGAAAGGCCTGGTGATCTATTTTTGAAAATTCAGCTATTGGAAACCCTATGAAGCACAATTCTACTCTGACACACATGGGCTCGCCATGAGTCAGAATCAACTCAACGGCAACTTGTTCTAACCTAGAGATATTGTGAGACCAGAATGGCATAATAGCTATGACAAGCCCACAACTTAGCATGCTGTGAATAAATTTCCATTTCCTGGCCATGCCCTTGTTTTGTAACCTGTTCTTATCATCTCCACAAGGTAGGAATAGATAAGGCTTCTCTGTGTATTCCCTGTGGCTGCTCAGTTAATGTATGTAGTGTTGAGCTAAAACCTTGCTCCCAGTGGGATGACTTAATATGAGACTCAAATCTTGAAGCTTGGTGTCTGGTCAGTCATAGATGTTTTCTTGCTCTGTTTTCTCTCATTCATTCATTTGTTTGCTCATTCATTCATTCATTCATAGCCATTTATAGGAAGAAAGTTGGGTGCCAGAAGCTTGTCTTCAACAAGGGGAAGCAACCCCGTGGAGCACAGTTCTACTCTGACACACATAGGGTTGCCGTGAGTCGAGGTCAACCCGACAGCAACGGGTTAATTGGTCTCTTTTCTTTTTTTTTTAAATAATATTTTATTGTGTTTTTGGTAAAGGTTTACACAGCAGTTCAGGTTCCTCTTCAGCAGTTCTTACACAAGTTGTTCAGTGACATTGGTTACAGTCTTCACAGTGCATGAACATTCTCATTATTTCTGTTCTGGTTGTTCCATTTAGTTAGTTGGCGTTAATGATCCTTCTTCTTCCCTCACTTCATCTTCTCTTAAATTCAGCCCTGGACCCCCTGCTCTATATGCAACTTGCATCCCAATTCCCACCTGTCTTAGTTATCTAGTGCTGCTATAACAGAAATACCGCAAGTGGGTGGCTTTAACAAACAGATTTATTTTCTCACAGTTTAGGAGGCTAGAAGTCCAAACTCAGGGCGCCGGCTCTAGGGGAAGGCTTTCTCTGTCAGCTCTGGAAGAAGGTCCTTGTCTCGTCTGAGCTTCTGCTCCTGGGTGATCTTCATGTGTCTTGGCATCTCTCTTCCCCCATCTCTGCTTGCTAGCTTGCTTGTTTAATCTCTTTATATCTCAAAAGAGATTGACTCAAGACACACCCTAGATTAATCCTGCCTCATTAACATAACAGAAAACTTGTTCCTAAATGGGATTATAACCACAGGCTTAGAGGTTAGGATTTACATATTTTGGAGGACACAATTCAATCCATAACACCACCCCCACTTGACCAGTCACTGCCCAAAGTGCGTCATCCCAACCTGCCCCAGGCTGTGTGACGTACTCAGTCTAGTGCTTCCCCATGTTTGAGACTTGGGGTTCAGCTTAGACTCAAGGATCCTCCCTCACCACCCTGGCTGGTTACGTACCCCCCTGCCATGTGATCGTATAGCTTCTTCTCTCTCTATCAGTTGTTGTTAATTGCGATCAGGTTGGCTTGAGTTGTGGCCGCCTCATGTCCAACAGAACAAAACATTGTTGGGTCCTCTACCATGTTCACGATCGTTAGTATGCTTGAGTCCGTTATTGCAGTCACGGAGGGCTGGAAGATGAGCCCCCTAGAGCGGAAGTCACTCAAAATACCCTCTATGAAACAGTACTCTGTTGTGATCCGTGCGGTTTTCATTGGCTAATTTTTGTGAGTAGATCACCAAGCCTTTCTTCCACTTCTGTCTTAGTCTGGAAGCTCCGTTGAAACCTGTCCACCATAGGTGACCATGCTGGTATTTGAAATACTGTTGGCATAGCTTCCAGCATCACAGCAACATGCAAGCCACCACAGTGTGACAAAGTCACGGACGGGTGGTGGCTGACCATCAAACCCCTCAGCGTATCATTGTGATTATTCCCTTGTCACCGACCCCATTTAGATGGAGCGTTATGTGAGGACAAGGACCTTAATGGGTAAATCTCTCTATCCCTGTGCCCAGGCCCATTGTAGTGCAGATAACAATAACAACGAGAGCCCCACTGATGGAGAGTTCTGGGTGTCAGAGCCTCCGTGCTAAGCATTCCATATACATTTTTCTCATTTAATCCTCACCATAAGCCTTGTGAGGTGTGTATGGTTAGACTTGCTTTTAGGTGCAGGAAATTGAAAGCCAAAACCAAACCTGCTGCCATGAGGTCTGTTGCGACTTATGGAGACCCCATGTGTTACAGAGTAGGACAGCTCCATGGGAGAAAGATGTGGCAGTCTGCTTCCATAAAGATTACAGCCTTGGAAACCCTATGGGGCCATTGTACCCTGTCCTATAAGGTCACTATGAGTTGGAATCAACTTGATGGTAATGGCAATTGGTTTTAGGGTTTTTTGGGTCTTGAAATCTGGGATGATGCCTGATTGTTTTCTGCATAAAACCTTGACACTCGTACTAATAAGTAACATTTACATATTACTTCACAGTTTACAAGGAGCCCTGGTGGCCTAGTGGTTCAGAACTACAGCTGCTAACCAAAAGGTTGGCAGTTTGAATCCACAAGCTGCTCTTGAAAACTCTGTGGGGCAGTTCTGCTCTGTCCTATAGAGTCACTTTGAGTTGGAATTGACTCGATGGCAGTGGGTTTGGTTTTGGGTTTTTTTCCACACTTTATAAAGCCTTCAGTTCAGTGAGTGCCTGGTACTGGAGATAATAATTAAAAAGATGCTGTCTGCTCCTGAGAAACCATGGTCTAGTTCTACATCTCTCATTTCATCCCCTGAGAGCCTGGTGAAGGTGGGCTCATTCAGTCGCTGACTAATTGTGTATTAGACAGCTAACGTATCAAGTTCTGGGCTGGGTGATTTCATATACACTTACTTATTGAGTCCTAGTGATAATCTGGGTCCCTACACAAATGGTTTGCTCAAACAGTTTGCACTCAGCTGCTAATCTGAAGGTTGATGCTTCCAACTGTTGATGCCTCCCAGCAGTGCCATGGAAGAAAGGCCTGGCAATCTCCTTCCATAAAGATTACAGCTGGGAAAACCCTACGGAGCAGTTCTACTCTGTAATACATGGGTCTCCATGAGTCGGAATTGACTTGATGGCAATGGGTCGGTTTGTTTGTTTTTTTAACTGATATTCCTCTGAGTCAAGTAGTATCCTCATTCTCATTGCACAGATGAGAAAACAGAGGCTCAACAAAGTCAAATGACTTGCTCCAGTTACAAAGCCAGTAAGTGGCAGATTGGATGCAGGTTGTTCAAAGCCAGTGTTCTCTTGGCTGTGTCACATGTATTCCTTAGTAAGATTATAGCCTCCTCTCATGGTTCACATTAAGTCTCTGACTGTCTGTATCATATTTTATGGAACGGTTTCATATACATCCCCTCATGAGACCATGTTTCCTGATTTGGAGGTTTGGAAAATTACTGCTAGCTGTATTTTGTTGTTGATTTGTGATGTAGGAGACCCCACTGTTACAGAGTAGAACTGCTCCATGGGGTTTTCTGGGCTATAATCTTTATGGCTGTAATCTATAGCATCGCTATGAGGCAGAATCGACTCAATGGCAACGAGGTTGATTTTTTGCTTTGTTTTGTTTTTTAATCTTGATGGAAGCATATTGCCAGGCCTGTTTATTCCACAGTGCCTCTGGGTGGGTTCAAACCACCAACCTTTTGGTTACCAGCCGAGTGCCACCCAGGGACTTTTGCTAACTATTTTATCATTATTTTAGGGATCCAGTTCAGTTAAAGAAATACGTACTGGTTGTGTTCATTTCCTAGGACTGTCATAACAAAACACCACACACTGGGTGGCTTATGAGACAGAAATGTATTGTCTCCTAGTTCCGGAGGCTGGGAGGCCGAGATCAGGGTGTCAGCCATATCGCTTCCCTCTGAGACTTTGAGGGAGAGTCTATTCCTTGCCTCTCTCCTAGCTTCTTATAGCTCCAGGCATTCCTTGACTTGCCTCTGCAGTGCCACATGGCACCTTTCCTCTGTCTCTTCTCCTCTCTTACAAGGACACCAGTCATATAGGAACAGGACCCACCCTGCTTCAGTATGACCTCATGGTAACCTAACTGATAACATCTTCAAAGAACCTTTTTCCAAACAAGGTCACGTGCACAGGCACAGGGGTTGGTTTGAACTTTAACAGATCTTTTTAAGGGGGACGCAATTCAATCTGTAACACTGGTCTTCCCCTACCTCATCTGCACGTCAATGCCTTTCATTCCTCAGGTCTCAACTTAAACGTTGCTTCTTCAGGGAGCCCTTTCCAGACACTCCAGTCTAATTTAGGACTCCTTTGTTATACTCTGGATCTCTGGTGGCACAGTAGTTACGAGTTTGACTGCTAACCAAAAGGTCAGCAGTTTGAATCCACCAGCCTCTGCTTGGAAATCCTGTGGGGCAGTTCTACTCTATCCTATAGGGTTACTATGAGTTGGAATTGACTTGATAGCAATGGGTTTGGTTTTTTGGTTTTTTATTATACTCTTATTCCTGGTGCTTATCACACTGTCAGTAATCTTACAGAATTTGAATTTATTAAGGTTTGTTGCCCTCATTAGAGTGTAAGTTCCATGGAGGCAGACAAATATATGTGTAGTTCACCCCACGTAGCTGGCCCTCAGTGGGTGCTCAGTAGGTTTGTGGTAGTTGTATGGATGACGCCGGCGGGATTGATGGCATTGTGCTGGGTCCTGTGAAAGAGGCCCGTTGCTTGGCAGTCTCAGGCTAAGCCACCTCTCAATTCCATGTACTTGGAATCCATTAGTTTCACTCTCTACCCTTAAGTAGTTCAAGGTCAATGGGAGAGAAGGACATGTAAACTGACAATTGTAAAAACAGTGTGGCTGGCAAGCGCCTTGGTGGGAATAGGCCCAGGGTGTTGTGAGTATCAAGGAGGGACAAACAACCCAGCCTAGGCTAGAGAGTTTGGGAGGCAGGAAGGATTCTAGAAGGGAAGACCACTGTGCTGAGGCTGAGAGGAGGGGAAGCCAGGTGCAAGAGTTAGTGGAAGAAAAGGAGGCCTTTCCAGACAGAGAACACAGCGTGAGCAAAGGGCTGAGGCGAGAAGCCAAACAGTTTGTGCAGAAAAATGGGAGCAGGAGCCAGGCCGACCTGGATGCAGGTCCCAGCCCTGCCACCTCCTCCCTGTACCTTAGGCAAGTCCCTTAGCACGCTGAGCCTCAGTTTCCTCCCCTGTAACCACCATCTAAGGAGCCCTGGTGGCGCAGTGGTTAAGAGCCCCGCTGCTAACTGAAAGGCTGGCGGTTTGAACCCACCAGCCACTCCATGGGCGAAAGATGTGGCAGTCTGCTTCAGTAAAGATTTACAGCCTTGGAAACCCTATGTGGCAGTCCTACTCTGTCTGATAGGGTCACTATGAGTCAGAATTGACTCGACGGCAGTGGGTTTGGTTTTTTTAGTATTAATAGGTCTAAGGAGCCCTAGTGGCACAGTGGTTAAGCACTCAGCTGCTAATCAAAAGGTCGGAGGTTCAAACCCACCAGTCAGTCAGGGGGAGAAAGATGTGGCTGCTTTGGAAACCCTACCAGGCAGTTCTACTCTATTGCTATGAGTCAGAAGCGACTCGACGGCAACGGGTTTGGTTTTGGTTTAGGTAACTGCCTTCCCACGGGGCCACGGTGAGGACTAAACAGCAGAACAGAGGCATCTCTGCCAACTGAGGAATTGTTGGGGTGAGGAGTAGTGGGATCCTGGACCCTTCCCGTCTCTGGTTCCCAGCTACCTCACGTTGTCTTGGGCCCTGGCTTTTGTACTCAACCCTGTCTTTCTTTTGGGGGCAGAAGGAGATTCTGCTGCATGTCCTGCACTACATTCAGTACCTCCAGAGAAACATCGATGTGGCTAAGGCCTTGCTCAAGCTCTACACCAACAGGGAAAGTGGACTCGGGGGTAAGTAGCCTCAGTCAGCATCTCCTGCTGCCTGCTGCATGCCACGCATCATCCTGGCTGTCAGGACACAGCGTGACTTAGCCGAGTCAGGCCCTTACTGATCCCACAGGCTGGCGGAGGAACAAAGTCAAAGGGAGGTGCGAGGTGCTGTGGGAACTCGCGTGTGAGAAGACGTGGGGGGCACGGGGGCTAGGCCTGTGTATTGGTTTCCTGTGACTGCGCTAAAAAAGTGTGGCCTAAGATGACAGAAATGTATTGTCTCACAGTTCTGGAGGCCAGAGTCCAAGTTCAGGTTATCAGCAAGGCCAGGCTCTCTCCGAAGTTTCTAGGAGAAGATCCTTCCTTGTCTCTCCCAGCTTCTTTCTTGGCTTGTGGCTGCAGCATCACTCCAGTCTCTGCCATTGTGTCACACGTGTCACATGTCTGTCTTCTGTCTCTCTCCGTCTGTGTGTCTCTGCTCCTCTCTTATAAGGACACCGGTCATGTTTACTGATAACATCTTCAAAGACTCTATTTCCAAACAAGGTCAAGTGCACAGGGGTTAGAACTTCAGCATATCTTTTTTGGGGGACACAGTCCAATCCTTCAAGGGCGGTAGGAGAAGAGGGAAAAACCCTGCCAAGCAGAAGAAACGATCTGAGCAAAAGCGTGCAGGCACGAGAAGACACGCATGGAACATTTGGGGAAGGTCAGTTGGGTGTGATTGGAGAGACGCAGGGTAGCCTTGAGACGACGGGAAGGTTCTGGAGCCAGATCCCGACTCAGACAGTTACCTCTGCAACCTCGACCTCTCTGTGCTTTACTCACGGCATCTGCAAAACAGAAAGAATAATAGTACTTCCCTTCTGTGTTTGTTGTGGAGTGAGTGAGTTCATATATGCAGAGAGCGTGACACAGTGCCTTGTACACACCAAGCATCCAGTACTGTGTATGCTGGGTGCTGTTGTTGTGTGAAATACATACATGAGCGGAGTGGTGGGAGATGAGGCTGGAGAGGTTCAGCAGGACCAGGACTACAGGAAGGAGCACTGGTGGCAAAAAGGTTAAGTGCCCGGCTGCTAACCAAAACGTTGGAGGTTTGAACCCACCCAGCAGCGCTGTAGGAGAAAAGACCTGGCAATCTGCTTCCATAAAGATTACAGCCTAGGAAGCTCTATGGGGCAGTTCTACTCCATCCTGTAGGGTCACTATGGGTCAGAATCGACTCCACAGCACCCAACAACAGTAGTGCAGGGATGAAATCTTGAAGGGCTTTGGGCATCAGTGATGGAGCCTGGGTGTGATAAGGAGGATGATCAGAATTCCTGGAGGATTTTAAACCAAGGGAAGTCATGATCAGATTTATCTCCTGACATCTAGTGTGGAGGGTGGGTTAGTAAGTAAGAAACGAGTCAGGGAGATGAGCAAGGATACTCTTAGAGGTGATGTGGACAAGAGAGGCCCGATCCAGCACTGTGGCTGAGAACGCGGACAGAAGTGGCAAATTTGGGAGAAGTTCATGAGGACAAATTGAAAGGCCTGAGGGAGAGGCCCAGGGCAGCCCTGGGTGGGCGGTGGTGGCCTTGCTGTGTTGGGGAAGGTGGGCGGAGGGATTGGTGTGGGGTGAGGAATATGGTGAGGCATTCGGGAAGTGGTGAGTCTGTTTCCCTCTTGGCCAAGGCCCACCGCAGAGAGCCCAGAATACCACTCAGGAAACCAGAGTTGGAGCTCGGTAGCTCTGCTGTCTGGCTGTGCAACCCGAGACCGGCCCTGCCTCCTCCCAGACCTCAGTGTCCACCTCTGGAAGGCCGGCCTGGGCGCTGGGGCTGCCTGCCCCCAGAACTGGAAAGCAGGAGGTGTGACTGGTTGAGGGACGATGACCTGCTCCTTCTCCACCTTTGTGCAGGGCTGAGTTGGAACCCCGCTGGGGGCCCAGTGAGGCGGAGACACTCCACCCCGTGCAGCAGCCCGTGCTCTCGAAAGACCCGACTCCGGGGAGCCTGCCGGAAGCCCCGGAAGAAGAAGCAGATCCGAACGTCAGGTATATGCTGTCAGTTGCGGCAAAGCAGGAGCCAAAGTGGAGCTGGGCTCCCCTCCACTGGTGTCGCCACCCTGGGGAGGCCTCATTAGCCACTCTGAGCCCTTGTCTAAGCCTGAGCATCAGACATGCCTGGGTTCAGCTCCTGGCTCCCCCACTTACTAGCTCTGAGGCGTCGGAGGTCACCCTCCTTCCCTGAGCCTCAGCGTCCTCATCTGGACCTTGTAGTCCCTACCCCAGGATTATCTTAAGAGTTATGTAAAAGCCTGTGAGACACAAATGGTAAAACCCTCGACTGCTCACTGAAGGGTGGTTCATTTGAACCTACCCAAAGGTGCCTTGGAAGTACAGCCTGGCAATCTGCTTCTGAAAGGTGACAGCCTTGAAAACCCTATGGAACAGTTCTACCCTGCATATATGGGGTCACCACAAGTCATTGCAGTCTACTTGAGGGCAGCTAGTTTGGGTTTTGGTATATATACCACCTAAGGGTTTTGGTATATATACCACCTAAGCAATGCCTGGCATCCAGTCAGCGCTCAGCGGATAGCAGCTGCTGTTTATTGTCTGTATGTTCACGTAGTCATCCATCCGCGGGCTGGGACATCAGGGAGCGTGAGGTGGTGGAAAAGTTCAAGCATGGGAGCCAGGAGTCCTAGTGGTCCCAGCCTCACTAGTAACTAGCTCCATGTCCCTTACCCTTTATGGGCGTCCGTTTCCACGTCTTTAAAATGGGAGTTGGACCTAGTCAGTGGTGTCCCACCCTGGCTGCACAGCTGAATCCTCTGGGGTGCTTTAAAAAATACTGGTGCTGTGCCTCACATCTGTAAATTCTGGTTTGAGGGTCCGAGGGAGAGCCTGGGCATGAGTACATTTCAAGTTAGTCTCCCATACAGAATTTTTTTTTTTTAACATACATTGTTATGAGACCCCAACTGCTCACCCCGTTCTGCAACAGCACACTCCACCCCTCCGCCCCTGATTTCCCATGAACATTCAACCAGCTCCTTACTCTCTCTGCCTTCCCCTCTAACCTCTGGACAGAAGCCGCCCCTTTGTTCTCTTATATCTACTTGTGTAAGAGGCACATTCTTCACAAGTATCACTTTATGTCCCACAGTCCAGTCCAATCCCTGTCTGAAGAGTTGGCCTCGGAAATTGTTTTAGTTCTGGGGTGA